TGCGGTCCGTAACGAGCATGCTGAATATGATGCTATTCAATGTGGGGAGTTCTGTCCGACCTTCCTCGGGATGTCTGCATGATTGTTCTTTCAGATGATACCAACAGCTCTCGAGTTCTCCCTGGTGCTATGGGTGAGTACAGGTCCTCGATAGTGGTGGCCTGCTGGACATGTCTTCTTCAGATTCTCGCCACCCATGCTGGAATACCAGCAGCTTTGATCACTACAGCGACCATGGCCGCCTATGTTGGATTCACAACGTAATCGTCCGTATGCCTCCCCCGTAGTCAGTCGATGCGTCCTCTCAGTCACTATACCACGAAGCGGAATGAGTATCGCCGGAAGATGAACGTGAGTGTCGCTGATAGGAGTTGAGCGACGATTGGTATTGCCCAATTAGATGGCCGAAAATGAAGCAAATGCTCGTCTATTGGATTCCGTCATAAACGCCGAGTCTGTGAGGTTCTTCGCAAACGAGAAGAGAGAGGCGGACCTGTACGACCAGTCCCTGGCTAGATATGAGTGAGTGCCTCGTGTGGGCTTCTGGACGATTATTCAACACTCTCGATCAACGGATACCGCATCTACTACACGAAACGGACAGTTGGACTCGCGTGGGCACGCAAGTTTGTATCGAAACGCCATGATTGACTTCGCTGTCGTCACACGCACAGCAATCTGGAGTTGGGCGGAGTGTGGTATTCTTAGTGTGGGGAACGGCATTTCACTCGTTATATTCATTTCGCGCTTCCATTGACTGGGAGAGCGAGACGGGAGTAAATTTCTAGAGCGCCGGTCGATCGATTATCCCTGTTTTCAGGGAGGAGAATATTCGTGTTCTGAAGTCGTTGGGTCGTCTTAACTTCGGTCAGCAGCTAATCTACCACACGGGCTTATTCGCCACCTTATTCATCGCCCTCAACCAGTGTGCCGCTGGGCTCCTCCCTGTAGGGGATCTTGTCATGATAAGTGAGCCCTCCTCTCACTCGGTGAAGCTACGAGGGCGACTACTTGTAGATACCCTCCTGATGCAGCTATCGAGTCCGTTGAATCTGATTGGTATGGTATATCGCGAGACTACTATGAGCCTAGTGGACATGAGCAAACTGCATGCCTTGATGAAGATCCAGCCCTCGATCACAGATGCCCCCGACGCCAAGGATCTGGTAGTGTCTCTGGAAAGGGCGCCCGGCAATCTCTGTTGTTGGCATTAGCTTGGAGGTAGTAGGGTTCTCTTCATAGGTCCTCAAGGGCGGCGAGGTATCCATCAAGGACCTCACGTTCGACTACGGCTCGGAATCGCGGAAGATTCTCAATGGCTTCTCATTGGACATCCCTGCCGGCCATAGAGTAGCGATAGTCGGATCATCAGGTAAGTGCAGTCTTATGGGGCATCGGTATTGGAGCCTTGAGCTGTAGCGATGGTCTTCATGTTAGGAGCTGGCAAGTCTACTGTACTGCGGTTGCTACTGCGGTTATACGCGCCCAGTAGTGGTTCCATCACTATTGATGGTCAGTCGATCGACTCGGTGACTTTGGCTTCCCTTAGGAAGAATATTGGTAAGCGTGGTAGTCGTGTTCCTTGTCATTGAGGTGCTGACTTCGGATAGGTGTGGTACCGCAAGACTGCTCACTCTTCCACGATACTGTCTTCAACAACATACTCTATGGTCGTCTAGATGCTACAGAGGAGGAGGTTATTGCAGCTGCTAAGCTTGCTGAGATTCATAACACCGTTATGGACTTCCCTAAGGGGTAGAGTATGGTTCATCGTTGGTCCGGTCGGAGGGGCACGGCGTGGTAGATAATAGATTGAATTGTCATAGTGAGTGTGATCACTACTGACTATCGTCAATGACGTAGAGGAAGTAGAATGGTCGCTGTCACGAATCAACGATAGGTATCAAACATTGGTTGGAGAGAGAGGACTCAAACTGAGCGGAGGGGAGCGTCAGAGGATAGGCATAGCTAGATGTATATTGAAGAACCCGGAGCTGGTGGGTGGTCTTTTATATGACTTGGTGGTGGCACCATGAGGGTAGGTGTTGTTTGACGAGGCGACATCAGCGTTGGACTCTGAGACGGAGCAGACGATCCTAAAGGGTTTCGAACAACTGACGGCGTCGCGGACGTCACTCATTGTGGCCCATCGACTATCCACTGTGAGTTGCTGAGGACGGCAGGGGGGTGGGGGGATCCTAGTTGGACCTCGGTGTTCAGGTTATGAACTGCGACACCATATGCGTGTTAGATGAGGGCAGGATCGTCGAGAAAGGTTCTCATAAGGAGCTCATGGGCATTGCTAATGGAAAGTATGTTTGGTGCTGATGATGATACTGATCTTTCATGAGGTCTGTGTAGGTATCGGCAGCTATGGGAGCGTCAGTTCCTCATTGACGAGACCGAGACTCTTGATGAGGCCTCTACAGATAGCAATGCTACCACTCACTGATTCATCCGAACTGTCTTAGCTACTTGTGATGTTCGCAAAATGTGAATTGCAAAGTTTCCAATCCTGGTGGGCTGGCTCTGTGCTGGAATGCTGATCATTGATCGCGTGTGAGATGGTCTCTGTGCGCTCCCCTTGCAGGTCTGTGTTGGACTGTTTTAGTTCTTAGAGTGGCTGAGCTCATCTAGTCTGCTATT